CACTGTTTATATTTCATACTTTTAAAAAAATAAAAATTCTATTAAAAAATTTAAGAAAAATCGCAAAAAAAAAGATTACGTTCACGGGCAAGCAGAAGATAAAAAGTGGGAAATAAAGTAAAAGTGGCTGCCTTGAGTGGAGTAAATGATTATTAATTTACCACTCAATTAATTTGTTTGCATTATGCTGCATACTTTTAGGTGAATATAGTAATTATGAAAATTAAATGATAATGATGTTGATGTTGATAATGAGATAAAATGTTTTTTATCACTTTTTTGTACAAGAAATGTAAACTAAATTTTAATCGAGATTCTCTTGCTGAACAAAAATTATTTAGTAAAATAATTGCAATTAAAAAATTAATTTTTATTATTTCCGTTTTTATATAGAAAATTGTTTAATTAACAACGCAGCTTGTGGTGTTGTATATTTGCAGAGTAGAATGCAATTAAGAAATTCCTATAAATTCGTCTTTATGAATATTGCCTTGACATTGCACTAGAACTTTGCATGAATAGTTCGCACATTGTACGTATTTGTTCATACATATGTGTTACATATGAATTAATTAATAAAAATGTGCCAATAAGCACATTTCATGTGTCACTGTCAGTGTCACTTCGCAAGTAAGTGTCAATTGAAACTGATATCCTCACTACGTCGACTTGTGATGTGTAGTTATGTAGTTATGTAGGCGCTTATGCATACCAACTGGGGCGCCATAAAAATATTGCAATTTCGTTTGAAACTTTGTATGTTTGCGCTGCTGCGTGCAAATATTTAACGAGTGGGGTTAAACTGTCTTCATTATTCCCCGCCACATATTTACGTTACATGCGCGAATTAATTCACTTTTGCTAATTAACTTAATTTATTTTAACTTTGAAGTATTTGTTTACGTGTTGGTTTGCTTGTTTGCCAGTTTGTTGTTGTAGTTGTTGTTGCTTTGTACACGTGCTCGAGAGTGGGCGACGGCTAACCAGTGCAGCTAGAATCTTATTTTACTCCAAAAGTTGTTGACAACTTAAGGCTAATGTTTAATTTTCACTCCAATTAACAAACTTGAAATTGGAGTACAGTGCTATTCTGAGTAGAAATATTTGAGTACTTTTTATATTAAATTTTTTAAAAATTTGTACCAAATCAATCATTTAATACGTTTTAAGCCTGAGTAGACCATTGAGTATTAATATTATTAATTTTTGTTTTATGCAGTAGATGAAATCATCGAGAGGTTCAACCCGGTTATAAAACGCAACTCCACATAAAATAAATTAATGCAGTCATTCAACCCGCGTACCTATGGAGTTCTACCACAGCCACCATACAACCCCCGTAAAAGAGGCCAACCTCATATGGTCAGGGCAGCCGAAGCTGTTGATCCAGATCATCGTGCTACCAAACTTACACCTTTGATCGAGTACCGCATGTCAAACTCCCTTACTATCATTTATACTCCAAACAGTATTGGGTAGTTCCCACTGAATACGTTACTTCGGAAATATTCCAATGCATTTTTCGCGGGGATAGGAGTTAGTAATCTGCGCTTTGGTTGCTGTAGTCACAAGTTACTTTTCTTACACGATCTGATGCCCAATTATATTAGAAAAACATAAGAGATAATTGATTAAATGAGTTGCTTATAGCAAAGACGTTTTATTTTGACGTTTTATTTATTTTTATACATACAAAGCAGGTTTGAACGGTTATATACTTCACACAAACACTTTTTTAATTTTTTTTATAATTTAATTAAATTTTTATTAATTCTAGTACAATTTTTAAATTCCTTTAGTAGCACTACATTGCCCAACTGCTTCTGAAAATGCCTATTCTGCACTTCAGTAAAGCACCGGCACTTCTCTATATTCTGCAAAAAATCGAGGCATTTTTTCGTTTCGTTTTTATAATAGTAGATTTTTCTTACTTGCCATTGCTGCCACCTGCAATATATCAAGCTTTTACCCACCCACTTGAATTTTTCATACATAAATTACATTATTCATGTTGTATATTTTTACCTTTTTTTGAAATTTTTTTTTGAATAAAATTCTCACTTAAACGCTTCAATTTCTACTCGAAAAATTGTGAACTGTGCTCGACGAATGAGATTTTTTTGATTTAATTTTATTTATTTTTTTCCCGCATAAATGTTTTTGATATTTTTATTTTTGCAATTTTTTGACTTGATTAAATACGTTCATAAATTTATCAAAAGTATTTTGCACTAAAATTTAAATAAAAATATCAATAAAGATTGTACGTTAGTGTACGCTGTGTTGTCATACATAAAAGGTTTTAAAAAATCAATTTAGACTTTTCGTTGTGCTGTGGGCTTATCGTTTCGGACTGTGTTGAAATGATTTGCTTGCAACTGAACCAAAAATTTGCAAATGAAAGCCTCACCTCAGGCAGTTTGTCACCCAAATGTTCCAATGTTATTTTATATGCTAATATCAAGTTTATTGTGGTCACGCCTTTGCTAATTCCGATAGCTAATGTTTTCGAGATTTATTATTAAAATGATATATCGATTTCATAGCCATAAAAATGATCAATTACCACAGCCCCCTTTTGCGACCATATGCATCCATCTATGAAGAGATTTAATTTTTAATAAATGTTTTCAAAAAAAATTGTGTCAAATTTTGATTTATGCAGCAAAAAGGGTGACAACATAAATTATAATTAAATCGCTAAATTTAAGTTAAGTTATATGTAAATTATATTTTATTAAATTTGATTTTTAACTGATATATTATGATAAATTAAACAAAAAATGTGATCTCATAAAATGACCTATATTTATGTAAAACGGAAAGTAAAAAAATATATTAATTTCATTTATAGTTGTGAAAATGCACTGCGAAGTATATATACATATATTTATAATAGATTCAATAGCGTTTTTATTTTTAACTTTTAAAGGTGAAGTCACACTTTCTTTTGAGGATCGTTGTTATACCCTCAAGATACATAATACGAAAAATATATATTAAGTTTATATAACACATATGTACCACAGCAAACGCTGATGGTCATATAAATCAAAAGTACGATCAACTTAATGTGAAGAATCGATCTTACTTTTTCCATCTATATGTATGAACACAAACTAGGCTTTTATAAACTAAAAGACAAATAATATTTATCATATAAATTATTTGAAAATATTTCTGTATAAATGAAGACTTGAGGTAATAACTTGCTGGAGTGTGTTAAAATCTATTTCAATTATAACCCGACTACTTGACAAGAATCTGTAGAATACTAAATGAATACTTTATTATTACTTTGAAATCTAATTTTATTTTATTACTGTTATTATTAAAGACCTTTCAGACACAACGCGTATTAGTTATATTTGAGGCCTATGACTACGAAAGCTAAATATCTTTATAATAACTAAAGAGAAGTTATTAACTCAAAACTTTTTCTTTAAATTAATTCAAATTTGTGTTCCAATATAAATTTAGGTCTTTTAGGAAAATAAATTTAAATATTAAATATTTTTTAGTGTCCTAATTTACTTAAATTGCTCATCCGTCAAAACTTTGTTGCATGTAGTAATGTAAAGACTAGAATTTCCTATCTAGAAAAATGTTACTATTTACATCAAAAATTGTAGAAAGCATTATGTATTTCATTTTCCTGAACAGCTCAAAAAGTATGTCATACTAAACCATTAATTCAGGACATTATAATATAATAATTACAACTTCGCACAGTATGTTACAGAGTTGCCAACTAACAAAAAAAATTATATTTGCATTTGGCTATGAAATAAAATGAGTGCGATTTCTATCCAAAGATTATTTTCTAGTTAATTTTAAATAATTTAAAAATAATACATAATTTTATTATATTATCTTTGAACTAAAAATAAAAAATTTTCCTCCTGTAATAACCTATTATACATTATGTGCTTTCAGACGAAAAGAATATTTACACTAAGTTTAACTTACTTCCATTCGCATGACATCACCAAGCCAGCGAAGCCGCTGAATTTTAATGCGCTTAAATATGTTAATGTCGCGGTATAGCGACATATTATTCGGTATCTTATTCGATACTCGTCACCAATGCGTAAGGGACCATAGATCTTCCAAAGAATTTTTCTCTCGAATGCTCCTAACGCCTTTTCATCACTGTTGGTAATCGTCCAAGCTTCTGCAGCATACAGCAGCACAGGTATGATAAGAGATTTGTCAAGAGAAGGCTTTATTTCTCAATTGCCTACTTAGCCCAAAGTAACATCTATTGGCAAGAGCGATTCTTCGTTGAATTCTACATATGTTTATAAAAAAATTCGCTTGTATCTTATAATTTAGACTATTATGCCAATTCATAATGTATTAACTATTTAGATTATTATAATATTCTTCTTTTATAGATATATAGATTGAACTCACTAGAAATTTTTACTCAACTACAGTATCTTAGATTTCATTAAAAGTTACAAACCGTTCTAAATGTTTTCAGTTATATTCAGTTTCAATAACACTATGAGCAAGCAACACGGCTTCAGTAGATAGATGATAGATGTTACCGTTAGAACCTAATCTGGATTTGTCTTTTCATTCTCTATATTTCTTAATCATATACATTTTGTTTTCATATGTATAATTTTGTATTTATTTACCTTAAGTAATTTATAAGATCTTTTTTATTGTCCTTTTACTTACTTACTATAGTTCTTTTAAAGCGTTGTCAACTCTAGATCCTTGCAATAAAATTGAAAATTTGCATTTAATTTGCAGCCATCAAAAATCATTTGTGTGCATGAGTACTGCTTCTGTAATTTGCACATTAATTACTTTTAAGGATATGCGGGGGGGCGAAAAGTACTCAAATATTGTCTACGTCAACGATGAGCTTAACACTTCATTTTCCATTTGAACAGCTTGTAGAACTTTTTTTGTTTATCTATCATTTTAATTATTTTATATTTCTTGTAATTTCTTTTTAATTAATTAATTTTCGTTTTATTTCTCTTTTTTCATATTTACTATACAGCATGTCGACCGGCTTGATGTCCTGTGTGCGGGAAAACTCCCCACCTCTGGAGCAGGATATGAATGCATCATCAGGTCCATTGTCACTACCGGAAACGAGCACAGTCAACGTGAACATGGCTGTTACCTCAACGCCTGTTGCAAACACAACCATTAACAGCGATGGCGGCAGTGGCACAGCAGGAACTGGCGCAGCTCCCAATGCTGGTAAGTGAATGAATACATTAAATTCTATTTGCTATAAGGATAAGAAGAGGATTTTTATTTAATTATTTTCTTAGCTTAAAATGCTTTCAAAACCATTTTGCGTGACCTACTTTTTAATTTTTTTTTTATGAAAAATCTGACAAAATAAACAAGCAGAACATCTATCCTCCTCCGACCGTCAGTCAGTACTATATTTAATGTATTAAGGTAATGCTTGTTCTATATACACTTGGTTCCCTTAAAGGTGTTAGACAGGCTGTCAATGCAGTTTATTATATGCATTTTTAACTCAGATGTTGTTGTTGTTAAAGAATTTGTTCTTTACGGTAAAGAAAATCTGACAAGTTGTTAACGTGATAAAATTAATGCTGAGAGGCAAATTTGGTGCAGGTATCTGTTTGAGGTTGTTAAGTAATAGTGACATAAATTTATTTTTTAAGTTAAAGTAAAAAACTGTTTTCATTTGCTTCATATTATCCTTAAAGTCAGAAACTGTAGGTATGATAAAAAATTTATTTTATATTTTTTCATTTGACAATAAATTTTTATTCTAAATTTAGCAAATTTCTCAAATGAAAATAAAAAAAAAATTTGCAAATCCTTTACATACATCCCTACACATTGTTTACAAATTATTTGTATAATGTATTCGTACCTCTATGTATCCTCGTACCAATATTTGTATTCCCTTTGTGCTGGCATTGCATGTGAGTAATCAAAGTATTGACAAATATCGACAAATTTTTATGTTCAATAAAGTTTTTTCCTTCAAAAATTTGTTGTGAGGAATAAATGAAGCACAAAATCAAAGCACGACACAGCCCGGTTTCTCTCTAATCTTTCGAACCAAAAATATTCACTGTCGTAGGCATAATTCACATATGGTGAAAAATTCATTATGAAATTCCTTTGAGAACTTTTTTGACATCGTAATCGGTTCAGTACTGAAGTATGGATCATAGCACTTTGAAGTACTTTTATGTGGTGAAATCATACTCCAGTTGGGGGTTTAGTTAGGCAATTTTATTATTTTGATTTTGTTTACTTTTCTTTGTATTCACCCTTTCCATCGTAGAATGAAAATATTTGCGTATCGCTCTTACTTATCGTCAAGTCAATAAACCCACAGGCATTGAAATTATAGAGATAGGGTTACTTGTGGCTTTTTTGCACACATGATTTCAATAACACAACCCAACGTAGGTGAGGGTTAAGGTACATACGAATTAAGCTATAGAGAAGTTTTGTATAAAATTGAAAAAATGCTAATGACTTATATAAGAAGTCTTTTAACTTTTGTGGTTTTTAACAAATACAAAAGGAAAAATTATGTGGTTGAGAAAAGGGAAAATCATCAAAACGGTTTCAGTTTCAATTCCAACTCTTATTTATTGTAGTTTAACTGCACTCCACAGAGTAACAATTAGTTTAGAAACTTAACTTGATAATTAAGCACGCGTTTTTTTTTTAGAATTAAGTAAATTAAAAAAATATTCATTTTTTCTTGCAGTATAAAGTGAGAGGAGATTATATTTGTGACATGTAATAAAGAAGCAGTTTATATCAAAGGATATGAATTGTATTTTGAACTTAGAGTAAAAAAATAACTATATTAGATATATCAAGAGTGTAAGAATGCAATAACAATGTTCAATTGGAGATATATACATCAAGGCGCAACAGTGTTTAAAATATAGACGCCGTCTTAAAAATATCTTATAAAATCTTTTCAAAAATAAAGAATCGCAAACAATTCGGTTTAAATGGTAGCTATAGCATAAAACCCGTGCGATTATTATCGTTCTGGCAAATAAAATAGGTCCGTTACCAAAAAGATCTAATTGCCAAATAACATTCGTCCATGTAAAGAAACAAAACGCATCAGTCAGACAAATAACGCTAGATTGGTTTGTTTTATTGGGGTTATATACATATATATAAGTTACAAATTATAAGCAAAAAAGAAGCAAAAAGCCATTGAAACTTTTTTCCCATGCAAAGAGATAATATTATAATTCTAAGAACTGGCATCACCGTAAACTGTCTTATAAATCAACACATCTCAAGAATCAGTCTACACCTACTTTAAAATTTGAGACTATGAATAAAAAGAAGAAGGAATATAAAACTATCAAGCACTTTATCTATTACTGTCCAATGAATAATAAAAAAGGAATGATTGTATTAGATTTTTATCACCTGGAAGATACCTCATATATCTAGTATATTGCTAACATCCTTATAGATCCTATTTTAATTTATGACTTCGACGACAATGTGTTTAAACTGGGACTTGTAATATGATGTGGGATTCCATTGTGATTTTATGGTATCAATAACAATAAGACAAATCAGACTGTGTTTCAATATATAAATCAAAGAAACTGAAGTCAACATTTCTGAGGATGTAGATACAGCTATACGACTTGAAACATATTTTAAGACATATTACACTATAAAAATACAACAGTTGATTCATTTTGCCGAAAATATTATATAAAATAATGCGATATTTAGGTATTCCATTATTTATGTATGTCGTTAAAAAGAAGATACGATTTAATGCTAACAAACAGTATTATTTAATGGAAATTTTACTCAACACTTAAATAAATCATTTTACGATATAAAATATTTAAATGCAAATAACAAATATCAAAGGTCACAACTTCTTCAATGCCTCACTTTTTCAGAAAATGTGACCAAAATGTCTATGAAAAAGGGTATTAAAAATCGTATTAAAAACTAATTAATAGCTTAAAAATCGAATTTCATATCATTATAATGTTCAATCATATTTGTAAACAAAAGCAAAAAAAAAGATTTTTTATGAATTGACGAAAAATAAAGCCAAAGTTGTAAATTTGTGCTCTGATAATTAGTTTACAAATGCGCTACTTTGTGCATTGCGAGGTGTACTTATGCCAATAACCTTTAATATTGTTTTTCTTAACACAATAGTATCTTAAAAAATAGTTTCTGTATATCACGTTTTATATTAAAATCAGTGTTAAGCATAGTTTAATACTCCGTAAAATACAAATGTAATCATTCAAAACGCACATAACACAATGTTTATTGAGCATAAATGTGTAATAATAATGTATCTATGAGATGAAATTAAAAAACATTCAAACAATGCCTTCTGCTATTAAACTCATTGCATTCACACTCGCAGTATATAGTATTCGTAGTATAGTAGTGTAGTAGCATATAAAGCAACGGGCAATGAGTTGTATCTTTTAAATTCAGTTAAGTAGCGAAATAACATGCAACGAAATTACGCGTTACCGCTTTAGAAAGAAACAATGCACGAGCCGAAAAGGGTTAACGTGATTTTGTACGTAAAGCGAGCAGCGAAGCCTCGTCTTCTAACAACAATGGCTATATTTGCCACATGCCGTAGTCTTCATAATTGGATTTGTATTGTTTGTTTTATTGCGGATTTTGAATATGATATGAAAATAAAAAAAAAAAAACTTTATTCACAGTTCATAAATTTGCATATGTAAGCAAAAATACTATTGCACTCCAAATGCGCGAGCAATAGAAGCACAGTGGCGCTTTTTAACCAAATATTTCATATTAAAGATTATACAAAAATATTAATTGGTTTAAATATTTTCATAAGCTAAAATTAAGAAGATTTTAAAAAACATGCTCAGCCCTAGTACGTACCACTCATTTAATATAGGAAATATAGGAAATATATAGAAAAAATATAGGAAAATATAGGAAAAAATATAGGAAAAAAATGTCACTTCTCACTCTTATCCATCGAAATGTCTCTGTATTCTTATTAGAATACATATATCATCTTAGTTAGATACACTCCACTCATATGAATCTATCTATTTAAATATAATAGATATTTATATTTATGTTCAATTTTTTTTGCTTTAAAATTTGTAGTCTCATAAAGGGGACTTTAGACCTCTATTACTTGTTAAAATCATACAATATTGTTTAATAAATAATCTGCATTTCTTAACTAACGTTCATTAATGGTCAATAATTAATGACTGACGCAAGTCATTAATAGATCATAAAACCCCTGGTGTCAATCTAAATCTAAACTTGTGATGGAAATAGAAAAATCAGGATTACCTAACAGTATTACCTTTTTAAAATGATTTAGTCCGATTAGACTGACTAGATACAAGAAAATAAACAATTGCTATACTCAACAAATGGCAAGATACGATCAGGAGCAAACCATTAAAATGTGGCAAGGAAGATGAAGCAATAGCACCTAAGGAAGATGGACAGCTAGACTGATACCTAACATACACCTGACTCAGAAGAAAATCGAGAGACTCAAATTACTTTCTCAGTCTTTTATATTTTACTATATATTCTATACATTGACTTTAACTAAATTGTGGACTGTCGCATTTAAGAGTTTAAATTCCTCTAAAAAATAGATTGAAGAAAAGGCTTATCGAGCGTGTTTTACACAGGATTGAAAGTTTTTATCTTATCCTGCATGTCTTTTTAAGAAAATACTACAAACAGAATCATACCATTAAACCTATTAAATGTAGTCTTAAAACCTAGTATGTCTTATTTGTGAAGTACTTGCCACAAGAACGTACGATTTAGGTTACTGAGTGCATACTTAAAATCAATGAAGGCCAAATACATTTAATATCGAAATTCTTTACACATATAATATAAATTATTTGCTTTTTATAGAACATTAAGTTTTTCAATTTAATTCATTATTTTTATATTCTATTATTTATTAAGTAGTATTTAAATTAAATGGTTTTACAACAAGTAAAAACTAAGAACTCAAAAATTTCAATTATAAATATCACAAGTAACAATTGAAATAATCTCGTATTAAATTTAATGCAATTTAATGCATTTTAAATTTCGTTTACTACATTTAATGCAATTTTATTTAAAAATTGAATTTTTTTTAACATTCATAGGGAGGGCCATACGGCCCGTAGCACACGAAGCTAGAGCAGACAAATGCAAATATATTAAAATTT